GGCGCGCCCAAGGTGCTCAGTCTTACGGTTGGTTAGTAGGGATTGGGGAATGAGGTACCCTATCACATATATATATATACACTTTAAGGGACCCTAAACCCTATACATACCCTTTAACCCTAAATAACCATTACTCGCTCATTCCCTGCCAACCAACAGTAAGGAGGTGCTGCGCTGAAGGGTTTCTCTACTGAACTTGGAGCCCTAGCAAGACTGATATGTTTGTGTTTCTTGGGAATTGTAGTACCCCAAAATTAAAACTTATTCTCAAGTATCCCTAACGTTTAGGGTGTGTGGGACACCGTCAAGGAGAGTCGCACGGACTTTCCATATTTCTTGCTATATCGCCCTGGGGTCGTCAGATGCTTTGAACATGAACCTTACAACATTAAAGGCCCCCAATTACAAAACCCCCACAGTTTTCCAGGATTCGAGGGGGTCGAGGGAGGCTTCGAAAATCAGCTAGTGTTGCGCCGTCAAAGAGTCTGAGCCGATTATCAGCAGGCGGCAGTGATAAAGGGACTGAGTCGGAGTAGGCTTTCACTTTTGCGTCTAGAGTTTAGGGTCTACAGGGATTAACCGTTGATGCGATAGCTGGCTATGCCCCTACCCCTCTCTTGCGCATTGTCCCACCAGGTCTGTACCCTTCCGTCCTCTGCTTCCGTCGCCAAGCGCAGCTCGAGGCCCTGGCGCGCGGATGTTTCCGAAAATTCAGGGCTTCAGTTTAGGGTTTAAGCTTTAGGGCTTAAGGGCTTGTATAAGGCTTAGGGCTAAGGGGAGATGTGAGCCTGGGGGCTTTGGGTATACCGGTTCTGGCCTAAGACATGTACAAGACAACCTGCAAGCCGAAGCCTAAACCCAACAAAACCATGCAGGCCCTGAGTAACGAAGGTTTTACTCTGGACCCTCTAACCCACCTGTGGCCTGACCACTGCCATGAAGATTTCGGTAAAAAGAAAAGCGTGCACCCCAGCGAAACCGCGGGAAAACTGACGGTCACCCCCTCGACCCTTGTGAGAGCGCTGGCCATGTCACCATCGCTCGAGCATGGCAACCACGGTTGTGCCCTAAAAGAGTTGACGAGCCCTGCAAGATGTCGACCTACAACACGATGCAGCACCCCTCTCCTCCTCACTGAGCTGTGCCCTCCTTCCGGCTACGGCTATGGTTGCAGCACTGGCTCAAATCAAAGCGACCGGAACCACACTGACAGAGGCCCTAAACCCTCAACCATAAACAAAACAACTTCTCTTCTCCAAGCTTCAGGATCTCATCTCAAATCCCGAGCTGCCATCTCGCGGCCCTCGGGTCACCCCTTGCCTGCGCCCATCGCGTTTTCTGCTGAGCCTCAGCGGCTGACTCTATCTTTGACACTGGCGTGTGACGCAGGAGCTGTGTGGCAAAATGCCATCTTCCAGCCTTCTCACAAGCAGTAAATAGCAGTGGTGGCTGAGCACACGGAAACGACGCTGGCTTGCAGCTTTCGCTCAAAGCTCTGTCGTACTTAGGGCGGCTTGGAGAGATGTCGAGCAGGATGGCAAGGTTTTGCGCACGCTACAGTGCCGCTACAGCAAAGCACTTCACCATTTGCACGCAGGTAATGCAAGGCCTGGTAAACGGCATCCGCAGGCTCCAACGAACAGGTCTCCACGCACGTGTAACCAAAACGCGAATTGAACCTCACAGCAGGTCGACAGAAGAATGATGGCCTTGTACCCCTTTCGAGATGCCTCCATGTCCAGTGTCGTCATAAGGCTGGCACTGGATCCAGATGCTTCGTAAGCCCCGACTCCTTCCACCTCAAGGATGCACTCCCCAGTTGACAAAACATGGGCCTTGCCCATCAGGCCACCCACTACTTTGCAAGCTGTGAACACCATGGATGGGCATTGCTCCATCTCCTCAACCGTGTGTACTGCATCCCCAAGATCGCCAACCAAGCGAGCCAGGATCAAACGCTGAGTCTCATATTTCATGTCTGCCGCGGGCTCGCTTTGGATGAATGCAGGGGCATGCTGAAGGGCATGCCATTTGAGACTTGCGGGCCAGGCCTCTTGCGTCAGCTCATCGGCATCATAATCCGCAGCTTTGAACTGTTTCACGGCCTTCCCTTCTCGCAAAAGGCGTTTCCCAAGAACGTCTACGGCGTGCAGTTTTCGCCATGCGCGTTGGATCACTGCTGCGAAATAATCTTCGTCAGCCCGCGAACCCTTCCTTATAGATTAGGGACTTTAGGGCACCGAACAGGGGCAGAGATATTTAGGCCAACCATGGTCAAACCCCTTTCCCCAGCGGTCCCACACCTCGAAGAGCTCCGGCTGCATCCGTGACTGCCGAGCATCCTGCTCTAAGTACGAAAGCCGTGTAGCTTGTGCAGGGGGCTCTTTGTTGGCGCAGGGGGGGGGAGCGTGAGAAGTCGGGGTGCTAGACTGCAAGCGTTCCGGGCTCTACAAGGGACTCAAGAAAGTGGGCTTCTAAGCCCTATAAGCCAAGCCCTACCTCAAAGCGCATGGTATCAGCTCAAAGACAGGGTGGAACTGGAACCCCAACATTCCCAGAGCTGAACATGCTGTAGGTTTCAGGGATTTAGGTTCAGAGCGTATCAAGGTGAGCGACCACGGGAAACCTCCCAAACCTTTGACCTGTAAACTTCCTGTCAGGAAGGAATAGCAATGACAGGCACGATTATCATCAATGATACACCATTCCTTCAGAACCATTCCCTGCTGACCAAACCCTTACCCTTTAACCCCAGGCCCGCAACCGTAACCACCCAATCCCCAGACTCGAAAACCCTAAACATCCCTAAGCCCTAAACATACGTAATCCCTGAAACATCCCTGAGCCTCAAACCTAAACATCCCCATGCCCTAAACCCTAAACCTCCCTCAACCCTAACCCTAAACATCAACAAACCCTAAACCCTAAGCCCAAAGCCCTGAGCCCTTAACACGGGAGCCCATAAGGATCCAACCCTACCAGCCTATCAGCCGTTGATGCCGACATGCCAGAGCAACCCTATACGGTTTAGGGGTTAGGGTTGAAGGTTTAGGGTTGGGGCCCTGCAGCTTATAGTTACCCTAACCTGCTGAACGCTTAACACATGCTTATAGGAAAAATGACACAACACATCCAACAAGTCCAGAAATCCCTGCGACTTAAGCTCTAAACCCTAAACCCTAACCCTAACCCTAAACCCTAAACCCCAAACCCCAAACCCTAAACCCTAAACCCTAAACCCTAAACAGCCTCGAGCGCAGACTGCCGCGCGCCGGCTCTCAGTAGGTCTGCGAGGCTTGTGGCGGGGCGCTCGCGGTGCGCCTCACAGGCTTGCGGCTCGTTGATGGTCCCGTTTTTGGGGGTTTAGGGTTTAGGGTTTAGGGGTTTAGGGGTTTAGGGGTTTAGGGGTTTAGGAGTTTAGGATTTAGGGTTTAGGGTTTAGGGTTTAGGGTTTAGGGTTAGGGTTTAGGGTTTAGGTTTTAGGGCTTAGGGCTGAGGGGGGCTCCTGCAAAAGTACGGAGCCTTGTGTTTAGGGTACCGAAGGGACAACAAACTTGAGAACCTCCTCCCTCAATCCCCAGTGAGACTGGTTTCCTAAGCCGACTAATCGCAACACGCAATAATACCTGCAGCTTGGGACTGCAACTCTTCATGTAACGAAGTCTTCGAGGGGAAAAACCAGAGCAAATCCCCCAACCTTGCTTGGGTTCACCAGTAGCTAGAAGCCAAGCCATACCTGCCGACCTCCAACTAGACTCCACACATCTTCACACCCTACACCCGTACAAGTTGGGATGTTCCCCATTAAAACTAACGGTCCTAAATAGGGATGATAGTGCCTGGATTGTAATCCTATTCAGGACTGTTAGTATAAGGGGGAACATCCCAACCGATAAACCCTAAACTCCACATCAACCTCACCGTCACCAACGCCTTTAAGCTGAAACCCCAAGCCCGGAGCCCCAAGAGCTAGGACTAGCTTAAGGAACCCCAAGCACACCCTTGTAGTTGTAGTGTCCTGTTTAAAGGGCCGTTGTTCATTGAGTTCCTGAAGCAAAAACCCTTGAGCGTCCAAGAAGCCCCTAAGTCCTAAATCCTAACCCTAAACCCTAAACCCTAAACCCTAAACCCTAAACCCTAAACCCTAAACCCTACTCTGCCCCGTGGACTCTCAACCTGAACATGGCCACTCAGGCTTCCACGGCTTTGTAACACCCGAGGTTTTCTTTTCAGGCCTGGATTGCTCATTCATGGTTGCGACTTGCAGTAGAAGAAGCCCTTGAAAAGGACAAGCGTTGATTACTTTGGGGCTCGCGAGGTCACAGCTTGGGGTGAGGTCATTCCGGGTAGAAGACACTCAAGCTGGCAGTGGCAGGGTGAGACCAGACCAAGCCAAAAGCAAAAAAAAAAACACCAAGCCCTAAACCCTAAACCCTAAACCCAAAACCCTGAACCCCGAGGCCACAAGAAGCACCCAGGCCTCCAGGGCTCTCCTGGGCCGAGGCAGAGGATGAACATCGAAACGCTAGGGTGGGGAGGGGGTCAAACAGTAGGGTTTAGGGTTTTGGGTTTTGGGTTTAGGGTTTAGGGTTTGGGGTCGAACTCTCCTTAAGGTCTCGTGGGTGTCCTTATAGCTCTGTGGCTGGGGATAAAACAAGGTAGCCTAACATGAGGAAACTAGTTGCCATGAAAACGCTTGCGATCTCAGAGCCCATTGGTTTAGATCGAGGACCGTAAGTTAAAACTTCACTAAACTCGGGATAAAAGAGCGCGAACAAAAGTTTTTATGTCGCTCAAAATGCATGTATACATGTGTATATACATATATATATATATATAGATAGATAGATAGACTAGGTGCTCCTGCAAGTCTCTTCCGTTTGTTTGTATGGGGCACCCATAACCCTCCAAATGTTTTAGGGAAGTTGGACTGCAGGTGCTGAGCAGCTCAGATCCTCCCCATGACTTTCTAACGCGCATGATGGCACATGATCCAGGAT